GCCGCACCAGCCTGGCCTTGCACCACTCCCAGTGCTCCCAGTGGCTCCCAGTGCCCTCCCAGTTCCATTAAACCCCATTATAACCGCTCCAAACTCTCTCCCAGTACAAACCAGTACAAACCAGTATAAACCAGTGGCTCACCGGCGCTTGCTGGGCACGAAGCCGATGTCGGGGGGCTGCTGGGGGGGCAGCACCAGCCTGGCCTGCCACCACTCCTCGTCGGAGGCGTCCAGGACGTGCAGAACGTCCCCGAAACGGAAGCTCAGGGCCTGGCTCAGGAAGCCGACGTCCTTGGCTTTGTCGTAGTCAAACAGGGCCCTGGGGTGGCATTGTCACCTGTTTGTCACCTTTGTCACCTTCCCTGGGTCACCCTCAGGCACTCCCAGTTCATCCCAGTATGAACCAGTATAAACCAGTTCATCCCAGTACAGCCCAAACTCAGAGTGTTCCTCAGTGTTCCCATTCCCGACTTGGCCTTGGTGCTCTACCCTGGGTGTTTTGTCATCTTTTTGTCCCCTTTGCCACATTTTTGTCACCTGTGTCACCTGTTTGTCACCTTTGTCACCTTCCCTGAGTCACCCTCAGGCAATCCCAGTTCATTCCAGTCCATCCCAGTATAAACCAGTTCAGCCCAGTACAGCCCAAAACTCGCAGTGTCCCCATTTCATTCCAGTGTCCCCTCTGTCCCCCTTGACCTTGTCGACTTTGTCACCTTTTTGTCACCTGTTTGTCACCTGTGTCACCTGTTTGTCACTTTTGTCACCTTCCCTGGGTCACCCTCAGACCATTCCAGTTCATCCCAGTATGAACCAGTTCATCCCAGTTCAGCCCAGTACAGCCCAAAACTCGCAGTGTCCCCATTTCATTCCAGTGTCCCCTCTGTCCCCCTTGACCTTGTCGACTTTGTCACCTTTTTGTCACCTGTTTGTCACCTGTGTCACCTGTTTGTCACTTTTGTCACCTTCCCTGGGTCACCCTCAGACCATTCCAGTTCATCCCAGTATGAACCAGTTCATCCCAGTTCAGCCCAGTACAGCCCAAAACTCGCAATGTCCCCATTTCATTCCAGTGTCCCCTCTGTCCCCCTTGACCTTGTCGACTTTGTCACCTTTTTGTCACCTGTTTGTCACCTGTGTCACCTGTTTGTCACTTTTGTCACCTTCCCTGGGTCACCCTCAGACCATTCCAGTTCATCCCAGTATGAACCAGTTCATCCCAGTTCAGCCCAGTACAGCCCAAAACTCGCAGTGTCCCCGTTCCCGACTTGGCCTTGGTGCTCTACCCTGGGTGTTTGGTCACCTGTTTGTCACCTTTGTCACCTTTGTGTCACCTGTACTGTGTCACCTCTTTGTCACCTTTGTCACCTTCCCTGGGTCACCCTCAGGCACTCCCAGTTCATCCCAGTATAAACCAATTCATCCCAGTCCATCCCAGTTCATCCCAGTACAGGCCAAAGCTCCTGCTGTCCCTCAGTGTCCCCAAAAAAAGCCCCCCAAAAATCCCCCAAAAATTCCCAAAAAATCCCAAAAAAATCCCAAAAATTCCCCAAAAAATCCCCCAAAAAATTAAAAAAAAATCCAAAAAAATTCCCAACGATTTCCCAATCCCAAAAAAAATTCCCAAACTTTTTTCCCACCGGACGTAGAAGCCTCGTTTGGGGTCGCTGCGGAGGGAGGCGCTGCCGGAGCCGAGGCTGCTGCTCAGGAGCTGCTCCCGAAGGTCGTGGATTTTGGCCTCGAAACGCCCGTACTCTGCAGATTCCAAAGGTTTCTTGGGAATTTTGGGAATTTTTGGGGAATTTTTGGGAATTCTGGGGGATTTTTTGGGAATTTTTTGGGGATTTTGGGGGATTTTTTGGGAATTTTTTGGGGATTTTTTGGGAATTTTTGGGA